GTAAATCAGGAATGAATGGCCTTACAACAAAGGGCATACATCAGAGTAAAAGAATACAATCTCTGCAGCAAGCTGTAGTGGAGAGAAAAGCTGCAAAGGGCTGAAAAATAAATAGTGAACACCTGTGCTGAATAAATTAACCAGCTGGCTGGTAATTTTTCATTTATTCATCTGAAAGGGCGACTGTTCAAAGGCATTAATAAGACATTCACTTCGAGGCGTTCTTTTGTTACTACCATTAATTAATAAGCAATACTAGATAATATCAGAATTTATACCCCCCAAATTCTCAGGCTTATATATAATTTTTGGCAGTTAGAAAAAAATGCATTATATAAGCAGTATTCAGCAGTTGCAATGAGGTAAAATTATCTAAAAAATATTGCTATACTGTATTGTAAATGGCCTTTGAAATTCAAATTAGCAATACAAATGACCTTAAATTTCATTTCTGAAATCTGTTTTATTGAAAGTTTTTATAAGAACTAATGATACAGATTTTCCCTTTATATGTTAAAATTAGAGTATCATTTTAGAACTCTAAAATTTCCTTTGAGAGCATGTAATCCAGTGACATTATTTTCAACCAGCAAATGTGTTTTTATAGTATACTTTTCAAATATTTTAAAATTAATAAAATTGAGTTATTTTGTTCTGAAGTTTGCTTCCAAAAGTTCAATTATCTTCTTTAAAGAATTTTAAGACACCAATATTGTTTGAAGTTTGATTGTTTTAAAATGATATTTTATTGGTTACGCTATTACAGTTCTTCCAATGTTTCTCCCTTTGCCCCCCTCCACCCAGCACCCCCCACTCCCTCAGGCAACCCCCCCACTGTTGTTCATGTCTGTGGGTCCTGTGTATAAGTTCTTCGGCTGCTCCATTTCCTATCCTGTATGGAAAGACAGATGAACAGTATTTTGCTTACTTAGGAATGGAGTGTAGTATGTTTTTGAAGTTTTCTTGTGCCTTTATTCCTTCTAGTTAGGTATTCAATTCAACTTTGACAGAGCTTCAAAAATATTGTGGTGGTCGTTAATGGAAAGTAAGGCCCCTACTGTGTTTTTAGTGCGTATGTTTTACGTAGTGCTAGGGATTTCACCGAATTCTGATGTTGAGAATAGTAAACTGAATGGCTTATGCATGTCAGACGGATTCTCAAAGAATAACTCCTTTCCTCACATTGACACTTGTATTTAAGTATTTTGGCTTTTAGCTTTCAGGTTGTCTGACATTGGCGAGTGCGTTCTATTCACTCTGCAAAGTCTGCTTTCTCAATATAATAAAGATAACCAGTGAGTAGATCAATCTCCATGGTGTCATCATCGTGGTCTATAATAGGACAAGTCGCCATATTCTGTCTTATCTGTAAAGTATAATTAATTATCCTGTCATCTCTCAGCTTTATCTTTGTGCATGGAACTTTTGCTGAAAAAAAGTTACTTTAGATCCCTCACGTGCCACACTTTGGTTTGTTGGTTTTCGAAATAGTGCAAGTGGATACGGAACACGAACAATTTTGTAGAGTATATACCCATCCCGTTTCATGTCATCACCCTTCATCCTGAATGTCACTAATGTCACTGGTGCCGTTGGCGGTGATGTGGTCAGAGAACTTCCAGTGAGTCTCAGAAAACCTGGGTGCTCCTGTTTTGCGTTGCTTGTTGTTAACTGTGGGATGTTTTCCAGTATCTTACATTTGATTAAGACTTTATGTTTGAGTAAGCTCTTAGTGTTTTATACAGTACTTTTAAGGCACATGGAGTGATCTCCATTTTGTACATCGGGAACCTCAGACATTGTGAGTTGCCTAATATGTGCAAACTACTGCATTTAGGGCTAGAACTTCCCTGACAGTCGTTTCCGAGATCTGAAAAGTCTTGTTGTAACATTAATAATGTCAAGTTTGTTTTCACTATATTTAATTAAAATTACTAGGTTATAACAGTAAAAATACCATGGCATTTTATTTCTTGACATATTTAATAAGTTATTTGATTCTTCCATCGTGCCCTTTTCATTGCAATATTCATAATTTATAATTCATAAAAATATAAATTTTAATAAGACCCTCTTTCAGTGAACCAAGACTTGGGAATCCACCATCTACTGATTTTTCCTGGCCTGATTTGTTTGGCTTTTCTACAAATACCTTTCATATTTACATGCACAAACCATTTATTTATTCATAGAGCATCTATTAGATAGCACGGTTACTGAGCAGAGCGGCAGGTATTATGAGGAACATACAAGAAGAGATGCTAGGGTCCTCGCTCGAGAATTCAAGTATGATTTGAAATAGAAAGTATGTCCTGGACAGACAGATGCCTATGAAAAAGGAGCTGATAAATAGATGCGAGGTAAACCTCATGTGTGTGTTATGTGTGTGTGTGAGTTAGGGATGAGTTGTTCAAAGTGAAATTTAAACTTTTTCTTTTTTTTATAACATTAATTCTTTTTTTAAAAAAGATTTTATTTATTTCTTTTAGACAGGGAAGGGAGGGAGAAAGAGAGAAACATCAATGCGTGGTTGCTGGGGGTCATGGCCTTGCAACCCAGGCATGTGCCCTGACTGGGAATCGAACCTGCTGCACTTTGGTTCGCATCCCGTGCTCAATCCACTGAGCTACGCCAGCCAGGGCTTAAACTTTTTCTTAAAGTGAATGGATTGTTGAAGTATATCCTTGTTTGGGGATGGTGCAGTTATGATATTATGGGGTGCAGAAAGACTGTCCCAGAATAAACAAATGATACGGGCCCAAACCTGCAGATCAGAGTTTGATAAGTTAGGGCGTGGAGATGCCATGTTGGAGGCAGGAGCAATGAGACTGGAAGATGGTACATAAAGAAGGTGATTTGGGTCAGAGTCACAAACCGGAAGATTTTATGTGGTAGGGTTTAGATTTTTTTTAAACAAATTTTTGTATTTTATTTTTTTACCAAATGTAGTGGGGTGACATTGGTTAATAGTATCATATAGGTTTCAAAGCGCACATTTGTATGATACATGGTCTGTCTATTGCATGGTGTGCCCACCATCCAAGGTGGAATCATCTTCCATCACCATAGATTTGACCCCCTTTGACCCTTTACTACCCCCACCCCCTTCCCTCTGGTTACCACCACACTGCTGTCTGTGTCTTTGACTTTCAGTTTTTTTTATTTTAAAGATTTTATTGATTTTTAGAGAGGGAAGGGAGGGAGGGGGAGAGAGAGAGAGAGAGAGAGAGAGAGACATCAGTGTGTGGTTGCCGGGGGCCACGGCCTGCAACCCAGGCATGTACCCTGACTGGGGATCGAACCTGTGATGCTTTGGTTCTCAGCCCGCGCTCAATCCACTGAGCTACGCCAGCCAGGGAGTTTCAGTTTTATATCCCACATATGAATGAAATCATATGGTTCCTAACTTTTTGTGTCTGACTTATTTTCTCAGCATGATATTCTCACAATCCATCCATGCTGTTGCAAATGGTAGTATTTCATCTTTTCTATGTTTGAGTAATATTGCGTTGTGCATATGTATGTACCACATCCTCTTTATCCAATCATCTATGGAAGAACATTTCAGTCGTTCCCATGTCTTGGCCACCATGAATAATGCTGCAGTGAAGATAGGGGTGCATATGGGTTTGTGGCTATACGCTGTCAAGGTTTTCAGGTAGATACCCAGAAGAGACACTGTTGGGTCATATGGTAACTCTATTAGTTTTCTGAGGAGCCGCCATGCTGTTTTCCACAGCGGCTGCAGCACTGAACATTCCCACCAGTAGTGAACGCAGGTTCCTTTTTCTCCACAACCTCTCCAACGCATGTTATTACCTGTCTGGCTGACAATGGCCACTCTAACAGGTGTGAGCCACTGGTAATTCTTGAGCAGTCAATTAGCACATGCTTGCTTCCCCATGGCTCTGAGGCACAAGGCACTTTTATTGCCTCACTGGTGCAACTCACTGAAAATGCAGGTTCTGTGCAGGATGACACCTCGTGGAGGGCCCTGGCTGGTGTGGCTCAGTGGACTGAGCGCCAGCCTGCAAAACAAAGGGTCATTCGTTCGATTCCCAGTCAGGGCACATGCCTGGGTTGCAGGCCAGGTCCCCAGTATGAGAGGCAACCACACATGGATGTTTCTCTCCCTCTCTTTCTGCCTCCCTTCCCCTCCTCTAAAAATAAGTAAATAAATAATAAAATCTTAAAAAAAATGTCATGGAGACATACATTGACGCAGGAAGAGTGGATGTCAGTAAAGGCAATAATAGACTGAGAGTGTTAACTCAGGTCGTAACTTTGGAAGTGGCGCTACCAGTAGAGGAATAGACACTGATACCTAAAGTACAGCAGGAAAGAATCTAGAAATTGTGATAAGCCAATTTCTACTTTCATGATACTTTCTTTCTAGCTCTGTCTCACCCCCAATAATAATAATCTTTGATAACTTCCCGTGTTGGTCGTTTGCTCTGTGCCTGGTTTTTTGCATGTTATACTTTATTTGATCTTCAGGACAACCTTGTGAGGGAGGTGGTATTAGCCACCTGTGGTGTCGAGGGATGATGGCTCTGTGTTATAGATGGGGTGTCTAGGTCGGAGAGGATAAATAATTTGACTAAGTTCACGGAGTCTCCTCGTCATAGGGTGAGTGAGGGTTTGAACTGCTCTTTGTTTATTCAGAAGGCTGTGGTCATGAGCACTGTTTTGATTTGTTTCGAAAGTACAGGTCCACTGTCTGCTTGAAATTCCCCAAAATGTACATGTGACCAGCCTGCCTAGCCCTGAACTGTTTGTGTATTTTTCAAATGTTAATTATGTTTCCTATTGTAAATAATAAAACCAGAATAGATGAATATTTAATGTGTGGCTCACAGAGGGCAAAAACACACAGAGAACTTGATCAGAACAAATGGCGTGAAGAAATAAAACTTGCCATTACAAGGTAAAATGGAAAAGTGGGGCCAAGTGCAGCGATCAAAAACGTGGTGTTGATTATGATTGTAATTTCTCATTAGTCAGGATTTGCACGAAGGTGTCGAGGAGGCCGGCGCACTGCAGAAAAACCACGCCTCGGTGGCATCTGCGGGCTCCCCAGCAGCCGCAGAGTCGGCCTGCCCGCCCCCAGCAGGCGAGTCGTTAAGCACTGCGAGCAGCGAGGGGCCCGCAGACCAGACTGCCAGCGCGGATCCAGAGTCGGCCCTGGAAGCACATGACGCTGAAGTGACCCGGGAGAGCGCGAACCATTGTGATGATAACACTTGTGTGCTGTCAGCTTCGGAGGAAACCAGTGAACCTGTGCCTGCAGCAGAAGACATCGCAGAACAACCAAAGAAAAATAGGATTACATACTCGCAAATTGTTAAAGAAGGCAGGAGGTTTAATATCGATTTGGTATCAAAGGTAAGGAGCACTTTCACCCATCTTACCATAGAACAACACTAATTTGCAAATGATTTTTGTCAAAATTTGCCAATTTTTATCATGTTATTGTCTGAAGTGCAGAACATTTATTTTGTAAAGATACAGTAGCCAACGGTTTTTAATTCAGTTAAATACCTTTAAATATAGGTTTAAAACATTAAAAATGCTCAGCACTAGATTGCAAAGGATACTTTTGTAGTTTTTTTTAAATTTTTTAAAAGATTTTATTTATTTATTTTTAGAGAGGGAAGGGAGGGAGAAAGAGAGAGAGAGAGAGAAACATCAATGTGCTCTTGCTGGGGGTCATGGCCTGCAACCCAGGCATGTACCCTGACTGGGAATCGAACCGGCGACACTTTGGTTTGCAGCCCGTGCTCAGTCCACTGAGCTACGCCAGCCAGGGCTACTTTTGTAGTTTTTGTAGTGGAGTACAGGGTCTACCCTAATATTCTCCTACTGCATAGATATGAATTCTATCAAGAGAAAAATTTTAATGATTCTAATCGCAGAGTCAGGTTATGTGTAGTCGCTCTATTAAGTGAACTTATTTGTAGCCCTTATATATAGTCACTGTTTCAACGTCTATGTGATAATGAACATTCCAAAAAAAAACCCATGCAGTGTTGGAGATCCTCTGTTCACGTGTGAGAGCTTGGAGAATAATCCCACGGTAGTGGGGCCAGGGAGGCTGGAAAGAATGCCTTTACCTTTGGTTATATTCCCACGCTTACCTCTAGTGTCAGGTCCGTGTGGTAGTCTTGAGAGGCTAAGGCTCATTTAGTGCAAAGAATACAAAACCACTAGAATAAAAGATAATGACCTTAAAGAGTTAAGCTGTAGGGCAGGGTGAAAATATAAAGGAACAGACACCAAATACCGTTAGTTGAGGGCAAACAATGAGAAATGGAAAGGAAGTAAGGGAGGGTAGTGAATAACATCAGTCTACCCACAAAACTAAGCTTTTCAACTTAATGCGTTCTCCTCAAGTTCAAGTTATAAAGAGAGGGACTAGTTGCATGCTCTTCACATTTTGCTGGTACAATCCTATATCCCCACACTGCTGCTGTCTTTGAACTCGATGCTCGAAAATATGAGTATCTTTTTACCATCCATTGTCTTTTCCTATCACATAGCTCTCTGAGTCTGATTCGGTTCGGCTCCTACTGCGTATTTCTCCCTATGTATTCTCCCCCACCCTCTTCCCGTCTTCCCTTTGCCATTCATTTGAGGGTGGAAGTTCACTCATAGTCCACTTGTTCCCATGAGCAGGAAATGTTTTGTTTTTTTTTTTTTAAAAAGTCCGGCTGTCCACTAACAAATAGGTTTTATTTTGAAAATTTCATTTTAAGTGACTTGAAATGTGGAATGCCTTACTTAAATAAACAATGAAGTAAATAATGGTTAAGTATGAAGGCTACTTCATAAAAGTCTCTAACCCTTAGGGTAACTGACATACAGTATAAATCTTGCAAAGGAAAATGGTAGGAGACGTTGCTTTTTCATGTTTGGAATTAGTGTACGAAACTATTTACCTGTATGAGAAAATGAAGGGTGATTGTAGTGGAAGGGGAGAGAGTTAGGCAGATGATAAGACATTTCAGGAGACTCTGAAGGAGATTTCTGGGTATATCTATGAGTTTAATGGTTCATAGTAGTGGTTCTGTTAGGGTAAATTAAGAGCAAACATGTTGAGAAGCATCAAGGCAGGTGTACTTTGTTCTGCACAGTTTTCATGGGTTCATGCACTTAAATAACCAATAATGATTTACTGTCCTCATCCTACAAAAGCAGGAGTAGCTAAAGAATGTGTAACTATAGCAATACAAGAGGCTTATAATCGTGTTTTTGATGTGATTCATTCAGAGAACATTCACTGAATGCCTACTGTGTGGAAAACATTGTATTCTATGACATTGCGGCAATCAGTCATGCCTTGGAAATTTGATCTGTTCTAATACTTGCAACTATAACCTCTAAGTTAAGGATTATTGCCAGATACCTATCAGGTGCCCTACTTTTTCCTAAAGTTCAGTTTGCTGTCTCCATACTTAGCATTCTATCTGATGCGGTGCTTTACAGTTTATAGAACACATCTGTGCAGACAACCTATTAAAAAGGGATCTTGTAGCCCAGGGTAAATTAGTTACATAAAATACTTCCTAGTGTTATACTGCTTAGACGAGTAGGCCAAGTGATGAAAGATCAAGTTCTCACAGTTAAAACTTATTTCTAAAAACGTTCATACCTTTTCTAATTATGAAAGCAAAAATTATTTTTAAGCCTAGTTCCCATTCTGTTAATCAAATTGAAGTCTTCTTTAGCCTCAAACCACTGTGAAATTGCCATGGTAGATTACTTAGAGAGTGATGAAAAGGAGGTTTAAATTTAAATATGGTAACAGAATCATTATTCCTAAGCTTCAGACAAAATTTAGAGGAGTTTTAATTGAAATTTATTTTCACTCTTGAGTGATATCCGAAATGCATTATTATCCTAATATTTGTGAAATGCTTATGACCACTGAGGGATCTTTGAATCTCGAGTATTTTTAAACAAATGAATTACTTGAAGCACCTTTTGAAATTATTATTACAGAAGTAAGACTTGGTGATGTATTCTCAAACATGGGGTGACATCAGTTGTGTTGTGTATTAGGCTGAAAGTAATGGGATAACATGCCATAATCTCATCAGTGGAATTGGGTTAATTAAAACAAAATGAAATGTTTATTTTGTTCTGCATAATGCTGGACTACTATAATAAATAGTCAATAAAAGTCACCTCACTGATAATTGATTATCAGAAATTCTTTTTTTTTAAAGATTTTATTTATGTATTTTTAGAGAGGGAAGGGAGGGAGAAAGAGAGAGAGAGAGAAACATCAATGTGCGGTTGCTGGGGGTCATGGCCTGCAACCCAGGCATGTGCCCTGACTGGGAATCGAACCTGTGACGCTTTGGTTTGCAGCCCGCACTCCATCCACTGAGCTACGCCAGCCAGGGCTGGTTATCAGAAATTCTTTACTCGCCTCTTGGATACTCATACTAATGGTTTAGATTTTGAAATTCCATTTTTCTGTGAAGTAGAGCTAATTTTTAAAAATTTTCCTGCCTTATTTAAGGTGTAACATTTACATTTTTAACATTTATTGAGTTATGGTCACTTAAGGATGTTTCAATATAGAAAATAGCCAAATCAGTTGCATTTAGCCATATGGTTAAATTGCAGACATGTTAGTACTGTTGAATTTGGTTTTGTCTCTCTCACATTGGTTATGAGAGACGTTGAAGGATTAAATCAATTCCTCACATGCTTACTGGCAATACCAATCACCCTTACTTCCCGAGAAAGACATACCTCAGGTCAATCTAGACTGTTGGCATTACAGAGGGACCTTATAAGTTGACTCTTTCAATGGAAATGTATAACCACTGTTTTTCTTGTGTCATTGACCAGGAGGTCAGTGAGCTCCTTTCTTCTTATTGAGCACCTCGCTTTGGATAAGACTGCTGTTCCTTATCCAAAACCCTAGAGGCCTGGTGTGTTCTGGTATTCAGATTTCAAAATATGTACCGTATTTCGCCATGTATAATGCCCCAAAATTTTTGAAGGCAAAATAAGGCTACACATTATCCATGGGTAGTACTAATTCCGTATCTATGTAAATGTTTTTTAATGCTTTTATTGGTACTCATGCATTAAAAGCGTAGTTTAGAAAGCAGTAATGATATCTGTATGCACAGTAATACCCTGGAATACGATCATCAGTTTTATATATAAATAAAAAATTGAGCATAGCTCAGTGGATTGAGCTCAGGCTGCGAACCAAAACGTCACAGGTTCCATTCCCAGTCAGGGCATGTGCCTGGGTTGCAGGCCATGACCCCCAGCAAACGCACATTGATGTTTCTCTCTCTCTCTGTCCCCCTCTCCCTTCCCTTTCTAAAAATAAATAAATAAATAAATTGAATTAAAAAATTATAATGAAAGATTTTTTTCCCCTGACTGTTTGGGCCAACAACGTGGGTGTGCGTTATACATGGGAGTGCATTATACACAGCCAAATGCGATATGTTAGATTAACCCCCCCCCAAAAGTCCTCATAGGCACAGACTACAGGAAGGTGATCACTAGGAGGGAAGGGGGGTGGGGAGGTAGGAGAGAGTGAAGGCGGGATAGATGATGATGGACGTAGACTTGGGGAGGTAAACACACAGCACAGTACGAGTTATACAGATGACGCGGTGTAGAATTGTACACCTGAAACCTGTATAATGTAATTAGCCGGCATCACCCAGTAAATTCAATAAATATGTATTTTAGAAAGTAATACAGTGTATGTGCTGATATGCTGTGTATGATGTAGCATCCTTAGCAAGGGCTGAGGAGGTACTCTGTAATTAAACACATTAATATTTCTTAAGTCAGATGGATTAAGTGGGACAAAAGTAGAAGAACCTTATATCTTATATCCATTTGGGTCGGGTTTGGTTGCCAAACCAGTTATGTTAAAACTTTCAATTCCAGAGGTTTTTGGATTTTGAATTTCAGATAATCAGTTGTAAGCTTGGAATATGTTATGAATTATAATATTAATAGGTTTAACGCTTTTTACAAATAATTCAATTGGACAGATTTTACAAATAATTCAAAATATAGCAACTGTATGTCTGTATTTAGCATTTATGAATTTTCTACAATTTCACCATTTATTTCATGCTATAAACTATTTTCTTTGTACAGCTGCTGTATTCTCGAGGATTGCTAATTGATCTTCTAATCAAATCTAATGTCAGTCGCTATGCAGAGTTCAAAAATATTACCAGGATTCTTGCATTTCGAGAAGGAAGAGTGGAACAGGTACTATGCTGATCATCTATTGTTACTGGATATGAGCTTAAGTGATGGTTTGCTTTAGAAGGATGAGCAAAATCATTATTTTCCTAGTAAAGCTGAAAATCCCGGTCCCCTTTGATGACTTACAAATGTGAATAGTAAGAGATTGCTCAGTTAAAATGTGCTAATTTTCTCATGAGTTCTTCTGCAGCTTGATGCTGGTGTCAAGATGGCGTTGCTGCATCTGAGCTGTCATTTGCTAGTTACCGGTGACATGCCATTGGCCTTTTAATGGCATAAGGGGCAAGCTGGCAAATTAAGTGGGGACAGCTCACAAGTTAATTAGCTCTGAAGTCAGCAGAGATGCCATTAGAGCTGATGGAAGGCAGCGTGAAACAGCCTGGCTAGAACGGAAATAATAATCTTGTTATAGTTTAAGGAAAACAATGTAGTTTGGAATCCTTGTTTATAACCAGGAAGCAGTTTCTTAACTTGAAATCACGTGTTTCAGGTTCCTTGTTCAAGAGCAGATGTCTTCAATAGCAAGCAACTTACTATGGTAGAAAAGCGAATGCTAATGAAGTTTCTTACATTTTGTATGGAGTATGAAGGACATCCTGATGAATATAAAGGTATTGTTTTTCTTTTCATTGTGCTTTCCTATTATTGTTATTATTTTTAAAGATTTTCTTGATGTAGTTTTAGAGAGAGGGGAAGGGAGGGAGAATGGGAGAGAAACATCCGTGTGTGGTTGCCTCTTGCGTGGCCGCCATGGCGGGCGGGGAGACCTGGCCCGCAACCCAGGCATGTGCCCTGACTGGGAATCGAACCTGCGACACTTTGGTTCACAGGTCTGTGCTCAGTCCGCTGAGCTACATCAGCCAGGGCCTATTATTTGAGCTTTCTTATTTTAATATTCTTTCTCTGATGTAGGGAGCCACTTATTTCTCTTTTAAAGTGCATTCTTACTGTGCATTGTTCACTATGTTAGCCTTTAGCACATGGAGCTACTTAAACTTGAATTAATTAAAATGAAATACAATTGAAAATTCAGTTCCTCAATCACACTAGCCACATTTCAGTCACTCAGTAGCCACATGTGGCTAGTAGCTATTGTGGCTGCAGTGCAGGTATAGAGCATTTTTGTCATTGAAGAAACGCTGTGCTGTGTGTTAAGTTTTATTCTTGTTAATTAAATATTTTTGTCACCTGGTCCTTCCTAGATGATACAGTAACTCCCCCCTCCCCCAATTTACAGGGAATGTGTTCTAAGATCCCCAGTGGATGCCTGAAATCACAAATAGTTCTGAAACCTATATGTACTAGGTTGTTTCCTATACATACCTGTTTACACTTCATGGCTTCTCTTGGGCATGTAGGAATTTCTAGCATCACTACTCTTAAGTATAATAAGGGTATCGCACTGCGGCACTGAGACATTTGATCTGCTAACTGTGCTGTCTGCAGAGTGACTAACAGACAGCCTATGCAGTGTGACTGTGCTGGGCCATCGGGTCACTCTTCTCCATGGCGTGATGGGGCGGGGCGCGTCAGGACAGCACGAGATTTCATCATGCTACTCAGAACTGTGTACGATTTAAAATTGATGAATTGCTTAGTTTGGGAATTTTCCATTTAATCTTTTCGGACTCTGATTGACCATAGGTAACTGAAATCACGGAAAATGCATTCTTGGATTATGGAGTAACTCCTATAGTCGTTTGCATTGTTCCTTATTTCTTTTTCATCAGTGATTGTGCTTGCAATACTGAATCAATCGTTTTGATTGATTTAAAAAAACAGACTCGATCGTGTGGGGGAAACTGCCGGCTTGGGAGAAGACATGGTTTCTCACTTGGCTTTGACCCGTCTCACTGTGCGACCTGGGGCCGGTTCCTTCTCCGCCTCTTGGAGATTGAATGGACCGCATTAGTAACAGCGCTTTACACTTTCAGGGCACTGGACTGCAAAAGTTACCCAAAATAACAGGATACTATCGACAATTCATTTATGAAGTTATAATGAGAACTACAGCAGTATTTCTTTTTTCACTAAATGTGCAGTTGATGCTTTGTTGAGTTGTACACTTGAAACCTAATGCTTTTGTGAACCAGTGTCACCCCAGCAAATTCCATTTAAAGAGTCTAGCTCTTGCTCTTAAAGCTGCAAGTCCATTAGACACTGCCAGATTCTTCTCCACAGTGGTATAAACATATTATCTCAGTAAATTTTTATAGTTCTTATTAGTTTATATAAATAATTTCCATAAAATTGTTTTGTCTTTTGTCATGGAAATGTATTTCGTACCATTAACCATCCAATTGCATTTTTTTTCTTTTCTTGGTACCAAGAAATAGTTCTTCAGCCCTGGCTGGCGTAGCTCAGGGGATTGAGCGCGGGCTGCGAACCAAAGTGTCGCAGGTTCGATTCCCAGCCAGGGCACATTCCTGGGTTGCAGGCCATAACCCCCAGCAACCGCACATTGATGTTTCTCTCTCTCTCTCTCTCTCCCTTCCCTCTGTAAAAATAAATAAATAAAATCTTAAAAAAAAAGAAGCAGTTTTTCACAGATCCGTTATCTTTTGTGTTGTGATTATAAGGCAGTGAGACTGATTTTATTAGCCACAAAGCAATTAGTTATTACTTTTCAGTCAGTTCATTGTTCTTAGTTTTAATAAGGAATATATGCCTCAAAAAATCACATATTGCCCTGTTGCTTTAATCAAAAGTTTACCATTTGTCATATTTAATATTTCAAAGTAAAATTATTGGCATTATGCTGCACTTTCAATGATAAAAATAAGACAGTTGCCTGGAAAACTGTTGTGATGGTTAGTGAGTTATTTAATGCTTTTCTACTTTTTTTCAAAGTATTTTTTTCATTTATATATATTTTAGAGAGGGGAAGGAAGGGAGACAAACATCAGTGTGTGGTTGCCTCTCATGCGCCCCCTACTGGGGACCTGACCTGAAAGCCAGGCATGTGTCCTGACTGGGAATTGAACCAGCAACCCTTTGGTTCACAGGTCCGCACTCAATCCACTGAGCCACACCAGCCAGGGCGCTTTTCTACTTTTTAAATCTGTAAAATACTAAACAAAAGTTCATCGTGTAAAGCTTAAAAATTGTGCCATCAATGCAATCAGTATAATGACATTTTTAGTTTTTTGTCCCTCCAAAATTATTGCTCTCTGTCCAAAATGTAATATTATTCCCACTTATGTCCTTTTCCAAGGCTTTTAAACAGACCTGATATAATTTTTACGTAGTGGTGTCAATTGAAGTTTAGTTCTGATTTTAACAGAAAATTTCACCTTTCTTTTTCATAGCATATGAGGAGATGACATTTTCTGAATATTTAAAAACCCAAAAATTAACTCCCAACCTGCAATATTTTGTTCTGCATTCCATTGCAATGACATCCGAGACAGCCAGCAGTACCATAGACGGTCTCACAGCTACCAAACACTTTCTGCACTGTCTCGGGCGGTACGGCAACACCCCGTTTCTGTTCCCTCTGTACGGCCAAGGGGAGCTCCCTCAGTGTTTCTGCAGGTAAGATTGCCATCGGTTCTCTTGTTTCCTGCTAAGGTGGCACTTGAATGAGAGATGACAATTAGACAAAAATGAGATTTACTGAAGATTTCGTATTTGCACATGCTTTGTTGTTCGACTTTCTTATAATCATTCTACTTGCCTACCTACTTACTACCTGAACGATGTATTCAGTTTGACCTGTTTTTGAGCTTTACAAATAGAATCATACTGTAAATTCTTTTTTCTACTCAATATTATGTTTCAAAGTATCATCCTTCTTGTGTACAATTATAGTTTATTTTCATTGTTATATATTGTGAATCATACATTGTGATTATACCACAATATATTTTTCATTTTTCTCACGATGGACACCAAATAGTTCCAGTGTTTGCTTTGATTAATAAATGTCCTTTTATGTGTTCAGAATGTACATACTCAAAGGTTTCTCTGCGATACATATCTAGGAATGGAATTCCTGAGTCATGGGATATATAAACGTTCATGCCAGATAGTGCGCAGGTATTTCTCCATGGAGTTGTATCAGTGAGTGTATATTCCCCTAGCTGTATGTCAGAAATCTGCTTCTTTGCCAACATTTGTTATTATCAGACTCTAATTTTTGTCAATCTACCTCACATAAAATAACCATTGCATTGTATTTTTTTAATTTTATTTTTCAACTACAGTTTATATTCAGTATCATTTTGTATTAGTTTTAGCTCTACAGCATAGTGATTATAGACGATTAGATACTTTACAAAGTGACAAATTGGCAATGACATCGCATTGTATTTTTATTTTGCATTTCCCGGATTACTTATGAATGTCTTCTCATGTGCTCATTGATTATTTGTTTTCTTTTCTGGGAAATGCTTTTAAGAGTCTTTTGTCCATTCGTTTATTGGGATGTTGTCCTTTTCTTATTAATTTGTAGGAGTTTTTATATATTCTGAATACTAATCTTCTCTCAGTTATGTGTGTCATGTAGGTCTTGCCTTATAGTGTTTATGACGCATAGATATCAATGATTAACATAGTCAAAAATTGCAGTGTTTTGTTTTTCTAAGATTTTTTTACTTAATTTTAGAAAGAGGGGAAGGAAGGGAGAAAGAGAGGGAGAGAAACATCAACGTGTGGTTGCCCCTTGTGTGCCCCCCACTGGGGACCTGGCCTGCAACCCAGGCATGTGCCCTGACTGGGAATCGAACCGGCGACCCTTTGGTTCGCAGGCTGGCGCTCAATCCACTGAGCCACACCAGCCAGGGCGCAGTGTTTTCTTTTATACGTAACACTTTTGAGGTCATTAAGAATCTGGACCATGGAGATAGACTTGGGAGCCTAGATTTTAATCTTGGCTCCTCCATGTATTAGCCATGAACTCTTGAGCAAGTTTCACAATCTCTGTTAAGTTTTCAAAGAATCAACATTTGGGTTTTTCGATCCTGTTTATTACATTGTGTTAGCCAAAAAGTCCACATATTTTTTCCTGTAAAATAAAAGACACATTTTTCATTTTCACCAATAACCTCATTGATTTGGATATTCTGAGTGTGTCGGCTATCTCCCCCATGGGAAAAGGTTGATTGTTCCCAATTAATGTCTTGATTTGATCGCTGTCAACTTCTCAACTGGTCTCCCTGACCGTGGGGTATTGTCCAGTGAGAAATCCGCAGCACGGAACTTTGACAAAGTTCCACTTTTGACATGTTGGATGCATCACGGCACCTTCTGCATACACTGTGCAAGTCTTTTGTTTGCATTTCAGTTGCAGTTTTAAAATATTGTGCTATTTTTATTTATTTTTTTTAGATTTTATTCATTTATTTTTAGAGAGGGAGGGGAAGGAGAGAGAGATATACACACACATCAATGTGCGGTTGCTGGGGGCCGTGGCCTGCAACCCAGGCATGTGCCCTGACTGGGAATCGAACCTGCGACACTTTGGTTCGCAGCCCGCGCTCAATCCACAGAGCTATGAGAGCCAGGGCCTCAGTTGCATTTTTACCGTGCTTAAAATAATAAAACATAATGTGCTGAAAACGTTGCTTATTTTCTTCCTCCTTCAACATTAAAATGGCTACACAAAAAGTCACCTGTTTTGATCAGGTGTTTTTAAATGCATGCTGATGAGACAGCTATCACAATACAATCTTAAAAAAGTGTTTCGAATGAAGTTAAAGACATCTAAGCGCTACTACAGCCATCTTACGGAAAATAAACCAAATGAACTTCCTGGCCCACCCGTTAGTTTTGGGTCCTAGTTTATTAACTTGGCCTCTTTATTGTGTCCTTTATTTTGCTTTCTTTGGGTTTTGTTCAGCTCATCCCTCCCACCTCCTGACCTTGTCGGCTCTGAGGCTGAACCCGAATGAGTTCCAGATACCTTTTACGATGATCAAGTTCTCATTACTGTTTTGAATTTTACATACTTATTCAAGTATTATTTTTGTTATCTTTTAGTCATATCTTAATTTCCATGATTTTCTTTTTATTGACCATGAGTTGTTCTAAGGTGTTTTAAAAGACTTAATTGGTTTGATTCTTCTGCTCTTAGCATAAAATTTAATTGTATTGTGTCCAGAAAATATGTTTTTTATGGTTCTCATTCTTTGAACTTTTATTTTACGACTTCGTATGTCCTGAATTTTTCCCATTTTTCCGTATGTGCTCAAGAGGAATGTGTTTATCTACTTGTTGGGTCCAGGGTTCTCTCATGATTGGTCCTCGTGTGTAATAACAAGTCAAGCTTCAAATTGTACTTTTCAAACTTCACTTTTATTGAGGTTTTTTCCTTTGATCTATTGAGAGCCGAGTAATGTGTTTTGAAATCTCCCATTACGATGTTTGATTTGTCAGCTTATCCCTATAATTTTATCAGTTTTTACCTTATATTTATTGAGGCACTTTATGAAAGTCATAAATTTATAATTGTTTATCATCTTCTTAATTTAGTGTTTTACATTATCTGATGACTTTCTTCATCACCAATAATGCATTTTTTTTCTTAAAGTCTGCTTTGGTATTCAAATAGCTACTCCATCTTTTTAGTATTTCCCTGTAATATCTTTTTTGTCCCTTTACTTTTCAAATTTTCCGAGTCTATATTTAGAGCTCTAAATAAATAACATACTGCATCTTTTTAATCCCATTGGATAGCCTTGGTCTGCTACTAAGCAGGATGAGTCCTATGAACAGAAGTCTGTTCCTTTTTTTTCTGAAATGTATTAAAAAGTTCCTCTACTTTACTTCTGTTGGTAGTAAATGCTGCCTAGTTTTTGCATATATGAGAATAACTTTGGCCTTTTTGTTCTGAATGAAGATTTGCTAGGTGAACATGTTCAAGTTGGCAGTTCTTTTTTAAATGAAATATTAAAAAAGGGGCGACACTGGTCAGTAGAAACACACAGGAGTCAGGCGTACATTTCCATAACGCAGCATCTGCATATGGCATCCTGTGCTCAGCGCCCTCTGTCAGTATGTTAAACATTTCTTCCACTGGTATTTGGGTTCCATTTTTGCTGTTAAAAAATTTGATGCCGGCCTAATCGTCATTTCTTTGTAAGTGATATCTCTTCTCTCTCCGGTTTCTTTTAAGGTAGTTCGTCTTTGGTGTTCTGCATTCTCATTGCAGCGAATTTAGGTTTTGGTTTTTTGTGTGTATCTAGCTTCCTATAGGTTGATCCATCTGAAATGAACAAAATGAAACCATTTGACATACAATTCCATATGCCTCAAACAGCTACATTGTATGTCCTCCATCTGTCAATTGTCATCATTTTGGAAAATTACCAGGCGGTATCTTTGCAATTACTGTTTTTCCTCCATTGTCCGTCTTCTCACCTTTTAGGAACCCTAACCACGTATGTTGTAGAATGTAGCATTCTCTCTTTCATCCTTCTTAATCTTTATTTTATGTGTCATATTTTCTGTCTTCCTGTCATTCTCGCTGCATTTTATGTGTTTTTTTTAAAGATTTTATTTATTTTTAGAGAGGGAAGGGAGGGGGATAGAGAGAGAGAGAGAGAGAAACATCAATGTGCGGTTGCTGGGGGTCATGGCCTGCAACCCAGGCATGTGCCCTGACTGGGAATTGAACCTGCGATGCTTTGGTTTGCAGCCCGCGCTCAATCCACTGAGCTACGCCAGCCAGGGCAAGATTCTTTCTTTAAAAGATCTTATTTATTTGTTTACAGGTCCTCCTACCATGGGTTTTCTTAATCATTCTTTTCCTCTTCCTGTGGCATTGCCTGATTCCAAAGGAACCACATTCTTTTATGTTGTGTTGCCGTGTGTTGCCCAGTCCTAGAGAACTTCAGGGTAGGGATGTAGGGACAGAAGGAACAGACCACTGGGGAGTGATCGGAAGTTCCCTGGCTTCCTACCAGTACTTAATGGAAATGAAATATTTAATGTCATTGCCCCGCCCCCACTAAATCCTTACATATCCTTTCCTAATTTACACCTAAGTATGTATTTGGTGTTTGCTTATTTCTTGTTTTTATAGAACAAGACATTCAAAAGCTCTTTGTCTCCTCCTGTACTGATATAAAATTTCAGAATGATACCCTTATGCATTAAATCCTAGACCAAAAAAAAAAAAAACCCAACCCAAAACATTTTCCCCCAAACATCATTATAACCTCCTAAGGCTGAGGTTTTATCAGCCTTCCATATCTTTTTATCCTCTGTAGAGCTTATCTCGGAATTTTGTGTGTGGTTCAGACTTAGTGTTTGCAGTAAAAATTATACCTGACCCTTTCCAATTTAAAGTGATACTTTCAGAGAATGAGGTGATTGAATGTGTGTGTAGATAGATAGATACTAAAACAACAAAACAAATTTTTCTCTTGCAGTTGAAATAGTATATTAAAATTTGGGGTGGTTCTTTAGTAATTAAAGTAACTCTCGAGTTCTTCCTATATATTGTATACATGAGTCTGTGTGAATCATCATACAAATGCATTTACTTGGCCTGGGCATATCAACTTTTAATTTGATATTGGATTCCCTGCATA